GATTTCACATTTTTTGTACCAAAATTTCATTTTTCCACAAACTTTTTGAAGTACCTTCATACAACTAGCTTGGATGAGTAAGTATTTTGAATTTCATTTTAGAACAACGGGAAGCAACTGGAAAGTTTTAAGCAAGGAAATAACATAATCAGATCCCACATTTAGAAAAATTTCTGGATGTTCAGTGGAGAATTTGTAGTACAAAATAAGATTCTGGGCATGAAGGAAGTAAGGAACTCAATTAGAACAGTGTAGTTACCCCTTGTGAGTTGTGCTAAGGTGACAGAAATGAAAGGAGTGACAAGTAGACAGACATGAGAAGGTATTTTGGAGACAAAACTAATGAGAGTTGAACAGGCTAAACAAGAGAGAAAAAAAGTAAGCTAGAAAAGTTGTAAACTTGGTGAAACTAAAGCATTTGTGATGCAATCCCAAGTAGAAGAGAGATGAGAATAACCAGCTAACTTAGGTTTTGAACAGGTTTATAATGGAGGTTGAAAATGCAACCCCTAAAATTCTTTCTAATGCTTATGTTTAAACTCGCCTCCCATTTTCAACTTTTCTGTATGGTAATGGCTTTATTGTCATTACTATATTAAAGTGAGACTATTTCATCCTTACTTCCCATTCTCATTGTTGGTTCCTTACCTAGGCCTTTATCATTTCCTATTGGATTATTCTAGAATACTATAAATTGACTGACCTAATTCCCCAACTTAACCGTAATCCCCCCATATATATTGCCCAATTCTTGTTCCTTAAATATGATTTATTTTTAGCTTGTTTCTTTACTTTAAAATGTTCACTTTCAATCCAGCTCTATGCTTGTGGCCTACGATGGCAATGAAGGATGACTGAAAGCCTGGAGACCTGGAAGAAACTCCTAGTCCCTGGTTTCCCATCCGCCCAAATCTGGCTTTTGTGGCCATTTGAGGAGTGAACCAGGAGATAGAAGATCTTTTTCTCTGTGTGTGTTTTTTTCTGCTCTCTGTAACTACCTTTGTAATAACAATGAATGAATCTTTAAAAAATAAAAATGTATTTCTAAGTCCTAGACCAAAAAAATCTGAACTATTCTTCCTGTCATTTAAGTTATTGTCCAACACTTATGCATTCCCCTTCTGTCTTCAGTGTACCTCTTCTATAAGACTATTTGAATATTTCATTCTTCACAGATTGCATCTATGTTGCTACCAATCATCTTTCCACATGTTTATACTACCTTGTTTTCTTTTCAGGTCCTAATTTTTCTGTAAACCTTTCCTTGATTACCTAATTTATGTCTGCATTTGTAACTCCAATGACACTTTCATTCTTTTCCTATTCTGTTTATTCAATATATATAGATATAGCCTCTATTTTTTCCAAAACAGTTCCTTTTAACTATCATATAAGAAATTATTTGGACAATTGGGTATTAAAAGGTGTCGGACTATGTGCATAATTCATTATAAAACAATAACTCAGATATTTCTAAAATAGAGCACTGTTTTTAGAAGGCACAGTGATTTTTCTGGTGACCTTCAAGGTTACTTATTTATTACTTGGAAATCACTAGCTTGCAGGAATAGGTAGGTTGATCCATGCTGAGATACTATTTCCAAGTTGAGTTGGAGCTGATTTAAAACCCTAACACTAACTCTAACCCTTTTTAAAAGGATGATAAGGCATTGACTAGATTAGGAGACAGGAGACATGTGCTTGCTTATAGATCCAATATTGTCACCAACTAGTTGCATGATCTTGGATAACTCAATGAATATGTTAAAAATGTGTTTTCTTAGAAGCATTAAGTATAGAAAGTACTAAGAAATTTTCTGAAATGTACTTTTACAAGAATGTAACAAGTATGGAAAACAAGTTGTCAAGTAAAGGATTTTGTAATATTTCTATTTCAAAGTTATATTTGTAATTGTAACCCATAAAATTAAAAAATATACAAATAATCTTTTGGAAATACAACAACTTAAAGTACAAACAAAGATACAAATAAAGATATTCACATGTTTCCCAACAGCAAGCTAACAATTTGTTCAATAAGCATTAACTAAGTGACCAGTGTGCCAAGCAGTGAAGATAAACATGCTGAATGTTAAATCTGCTCCTACAGAGATCACTATCTAGAATGGGAGACAGATAATTATAGCAAATGGTGGTAAGTGCTGTGATAGTGATCATTCAAAGGGGACACTGACTGACAAAAAGGACAGGCACATAAACTGGTTCTTTGGAGAGAAAAATGATTAGGCAGTTATCTGGTAAAGGCCTGCTTACTCATTCTTAGATGGTGCCGTCTTGCTCTATCTTTATATGGGTAAACAGGACAAGGGAACTCTTTGAGGCCTCTTTTGTAATGTTACGAATTCCACAAGATTTAATTGCCTCCCTAAAGCCTCACCTCTTAGTACTATCGCACTGCTGATCAGTTTTCAACATTGGAATTTTGAAAAGACACAAACATTCAAACCAGAGCAGATAACAAACAGTTTAACAGAGTTAGCACAAAATCCTTGAAGACGTTTGCAGATGGTTCAATACTGTTGAATAGCAGTTAAGAGTGCAAACTCCAGAGTGACTCAACCTAGGCTAAATCCTGTATCTGCAACTCAGCAGCTGTGTAACCTTGGACAAGTTAGTTAGTGCCTTTAGACTTTGGCTGATTATTTGTAAAATCAGTACAATTTGCAAATGTACATCTTAGGACTATTGTGAGAATTAAATAAGTTAGAACACATAAAATGCTTAGAACAGTACTTAACAGAGTAAATCTACCACCTTACTTACTGGAATGTCAACTCTAGGAAGGAGAGAAATTCCCTGTTGCATCACTAGCATTTAGAAAGTGAGTAGTCCATAATAGACATTGTTAAGTGAGTGAATGATCAAGAACAGAAGTACTTTTTGTCATAAAAGCCATCCTGAACATCCTGAAAATTGATAAAGTTGTTGAACAATGTCACTTGTTTTCCTTACTACCTTGATGTCGGCTCATGGTGTAAAGGAGATGAATGAACTAGTGAATTCAGCAGTTCAAATTTAAATCTTGAGTTTAGAAATGTAAAAGGACATTGAAGTGACATCATCTCTTCCCTCCCCTATGGGCTATATTAGGAGAAGAATAATTTCTTACAGTCATAGCTGCTATTTGTTCATGTTTGTTATGTGCCTGACACATGATAAACCTTTTACATGCAAAGTTTTACTTAATTCACAGTACAATAGCACAATCTTAGGGTGTATGTACTGTTTTAGCTCCATTTTAAAGATGAAGAAAAAGACTCAGAGAGGTGAACTGAGTTGCCCAAAGTTAGATGGCTCATAAATTGTGAACATAAATGTGAACCCTGATGTGTTTGACCTAAATCTAGTTACTAGTATGGTGTTTGGCACACAGTTGGTGTGCAATAAATGGATGATTGAATACATCAGCAATGTATCCTCTTCTGTAGATGAAACTACAGGTTAGCTTTAACAGTTTTCATTATCTTGATAAGCTCAAAACAATGTTATGAATAAGGAAAAGGTTAGGGCCACAAAGAGAAGATTTTATGGAAGAAATTAGGAAGAGTGGAAATAATCCAGCATTAGGGCATGAAGCGACCTTAGCAATTACTTAATTACATCCTCTCACGTTAAGATAGAAATTGAGGCCTTAAGAAAGATCATAGAAAGAGTTAAAGTAAGATTAAAATCTTAGTTACCTATCTCACAGGTTTGTTTTACTCTGAGCTGTCACCATTTACCATTTCAATTTTATAGACCGGATAACCAAAGCATCCTAAGAATGCTGATGGCCAAGCTCCTGCCACTTGTTTATTGAAACAGGCCTTGAAAACAGATATGATGCTTGCTTTCATTCAAGCACTTCTGTCTGGATGCCCAGAAGGAAAATCTCTTCCTATTGAATTTAATTGTGGACTAAGTATAATTTACAGAAAGCTTTCTCCTTTGCTTTAAGAGAAGATGTCTAAGCCTGCTTTATTTTCAGAAGTCTGGCAGTTCCAAAGAGGTTCCATGAAAGCAGGAATCCTCTTTCGTCCTTACTGAATTCATAACACCTAGCACAAAGGAATGTTTTCAATAAATATTTGTTGTTGAATGTATGACTGGCTAAAGTCAGGAAGGGAAGTAAGGTTGAGTAATGGTTTTCCAGTGGATGATGGGTGGACAATCATGATTAATTCTGAAAAAGTGGAAATGTATAAGGAAAAGAGGTGGGAGAAGTCCTGAAACAAAGGGGAAGCTGTGTGTCTTTATCTGATTGAAGCTGCAATCACTCAGCCAAGGCTGAGAGGCTTGGGAGAACTGTGATTGGCAGAGATATTTAAATGAGGCCTCCTTAAAATTGTTACTCTTCTCCCCACCCCCATTCCCCTTTAAATTTTGTTTCAATCATTGCCCAGGGACCGGATGCAGAGATTCCTATGGGGAGTTCTAATGGGTCGATTCAATTTCAACTGGATGACGCCACTTAGCTAAGCATTAAGAGGCTACAGCTCCGGGAAAACAAACGACACAGAGAGGGGGAGAGAAAGAAATTATAATAAGGAGCAATAAATCCCTTCCTTCCCATCCTCCCCTATAAGCCATTCACAAGACCTCCAGAAATCATCTACATTCACAAAACAGCCAGCCAGCTGAGCTGAACACACTGCAACCTCATCCCCCTTCCCCCTGCCGTTATATACCAACACACCCTGAGCTATATAAATAATCACACACTAGCGGTATCTATTGCTCCGTTGAGATACCCTATGTCTACAACTGCAGTTTCTGCTGCTTCGGTTCATCTGACAGATTGGAGAAGACGGGGGCGGAGGTGGAGGCGCGGAGGGGGGGGGGGGAAGAGAAGGAGGGGGAGGCGGTAAAGGAAGAGAAAGAGGAGGAGGGAAGGGGGAAGGGAAGGGGAGGGGAAGGAAAATACTGGAGGAGGAGGAGGGGGGAAAGAAACAGGAGGAGGAGAAGGGGGAGGAGAAAGAGGCGGAGGAGGAGGGGTAGAAAGAGGAGAAGGAGGAGGAGAAAGAAGAGGAGGAGGAGAAAGAGGAGAAGGAGGTGAACAACTTACCCTGCTGAGCTTCCTTTGGGGAATTCGAACATCAAGATTTAGATCAGCATGTAAAATCTACACCAAGTGTCTGCCAACTACAGGTCGGACTCCCTTCCCCTTACCCATTTTCATTTTTCCTCTCCGTTTTTTCTGCTGTATCGGAAAGACCAAGACAAAACTGTCTCTGTTTCTAGCTCCACTGCCAGTGAAGGAGTTTTCATTCAGACTTTCCGAAGAGAGGTGGACAAACCTAAAGATTCGGGAGAAGAGGTCCTGTGCACTATATGAGCCTTTGGTCTTTTGCTTTTCTCAGCATGGATAAACCCTTTCCTCAAGGTAAGCCCTACAAATCAGCTCTTAAAGACCCCAGAATTCTTTCTATGCAATGCACAGATTGCCATTCATTCCAGCCATCCTGTGGTGTGTGTGTGTGTGTGTGTGTGTGTGTGTGCGTGTGTGTGACCGTGTGTCTGTGTGTGTGGGTCTGTATGTGTGGGTGTGCATGCGCGCACGCGCAATCGAGTGTGCAGGCACGCGCACTAGTGCGTGGATAAAATAAAATGAAAACCTCTTAAATGAGATTTACGTATCTGTTATGGAAAACTATCAGCACTGGAAATTTATAAATCAAAGTAGCACTTTAAAATAATCCTTTTCTAGTCAAATGTCATTTTCCTCTCTAGCCTGTTGACCTTTAAATAGATTTTGGAGCTTGCCTAAACCCCCTTGTAACCAAAGCAGCCTAACCACCCAAGCTGAAGACATAGGGAGAGCCCATGCTTAGGTCAGTCTGGCTGCCCAGCAGGCATCCTGTCAGCATGGGGCTAGCTTGCTATTGGCTCACAAGTCTGGGTTGTGCATCGTTCAGATTTCATCACATCACCTTGCCTTGGGTGGAAATGGCGCAAGCTGACACGACATAACCCCCCACTTACATTGAGTCAGAGCAATGATTTAGAAATCTCTGGATCCTTGCCTGGTATATGTGCACATGTCTCTGTGTGGCATATGGAAATTTTGTCAAAAGTGAGAACCTGCAAGCATGTCTAGTTGCCTAACAGGCATTTGATAGGACCTACAGCAATGATTTACTGCACATTTCCTTCCAGATATCTAATTATAATTATCACTCACTTCCACATAAACCAAGAAAAATGAACAAAAACCAGACTTCTAACTAGTAAATAGAAACTGTATTTTTAGATGAAAACTATAGTTGCTTTTCTGGACATATTAAAGCTCCTACTGTAATGTGATGGCCTGTCACATGAATTCAGAGATATCATGTGTTAAATCATGTTACCAACAAATCAGTTGTATATGCAAGTACAAATAAGAAACGTGAACACTTTATCTATGATTAAATATTAGTTTTGTTCTATTTAACTCTAAACAAACATGCCCTAAGACTGTATTGGAGCATCCCACACATTTTGTTTTGTGTATGTTCTTTTATGGTTTTTCTAGCTGTGAAACACAGCCTAGATAATGATCTCAGTGACTTGGCTTTAGAAGCATTTATCCAAAATTGAGTTGGAAAGAACTTAAGAATCTAGAAAAGGAGACCAAGTCTTCATAAAAGATTTTTGAGATAGACATAGGCAGTCAACAATCCCAGCATAAAGCATCAGAATGAGAAAAGGCTTGAAATATCTCCTTTCATATTGCCTCATTTTGCAGATGAAGAAACTGAGGCCTGGAAGAGCGATCACTTGCCCACGGTCACACAGCAAAGTGTAAATAGCACTAGGGCTACAACTTCAAATTTCTTACATCTTATAAGAGGATTGGGGGTTTAAAGAAAGATTTCTACTTGAATGAATGGCAAGCTTTACAACATTTTCCTCAAGATTAGATGTAAATCATTTGATATCACAATTTTTCCCTGTATTCTCATCACCAAAACATCTATTTCTTTACTAATACTAAAGTCTTAAAACTGCAAGATTCCTTGGTTTGAAATAAACTGGTATGAGTCTTAACGAAACTATTAAAGTAATGAATAGGACGAGGGTAGCAAAGTGACAAGTTAAGAGTTAAATGCGGTGAGAATCTGGCAGCTCCAGCAAGATGTATGCGGTAGGAGGGAGGCCCAGTCAGTGGCAGAGAGGTTAGTAATGTAAACTATATACAACTTGGTATTTGTAAGGGGGAAGTGCTTTGATAGAGATGCAAATGCTTTTTGCACAGAGAGGGATTTTTAGAGAGCAGACTTTGGAACAGTGGAACTAAGAAAACATATAAAGCCATAACAGAAATTCCCTCTATGTTTGCTCTCAGTTATTCTGAGAACGAGTGTATATAACAGCAGAGCACAGAAAAAAAAAAAAAAAAGCAACACACCCCAGAGCTGTTACACAGTAAGGTACATTGAACCCATGGGAGTGGGGAAAGTAGGAGCCAGACCCTCCTTCTCATGGTCCTTTTTTTGAAATCAACATGGAGCCATATTTTATCAGAAATGATTTATCAAATAATTCAAAACTGTCTTAAAGTGTTATTATAGAGGACTTTAGGTAGTTTAAAGTTTTCAGCTTTAACTTCAACATGGAAGATTTTAGATTCCAGGGGAAAAAATACATTTTCTTTCATTAACAAACCTAGTATTTCTTGAATTGATTTAGCTTTCTAGTCTCTAAATTGGTATCAGAAATTTGTTAGCTTAAACAACAGATTTCAAGCCTACAGAAAAACTGTTGAAAAAGCTATGAGCACCTGGCCAAAGAGACTGAAAGGGGAGTGGGTTTACAATGCATCATTCATTGCTGCAAAGGCACTACGTGACAGAAATCACTAGATCCCATCAATGTGCAGGCAAGACTTGTAATCACCTTGACCCTTATTTCATAATATGTGACATGTACATTCTCTTTCTTTTAGTAGAATATGGAAGTGGCCAACAGTACAGTTTCTTAACTGTTGCTGTTCACAATGAATGGCTCTTTAATGGGTAGATTACTGAATCATAAACACGCATGCAGCGGTAGTTTTTCACCTAGTTTATGTGCTGCACCAATTTCTTGCCTATTCATTTCCCTATATTATTTTTCCCTCTTACCTTTCTCTACAGTATCTATTTCAGTTCATCCTCTTAGCAAGATCAGATTCAGCACTTCTAGAATAACAGACAATTTATTGTCATTCTATACTTTTTAAAATCCTACTCAACATTTTAATTTATCCAGATCCTATTGTCTACTCTATTGCAGATCTTCCACACTGGATCCTGGAGTTAACGCTAATAAAAGGTTATACAGAGCCAGGGAGAAACCTTCTAAGTTGATCCTGTTAATTTCCATGCTTATAACCAAGTAGTACCTCAATCATCCCAAACTCACAGCTCACAGTTTTTTTTAATCATCCACCCAAGCTCTCATCTCCTTCTCAGTCTTGCAGAAATCTAATCAATATTCAAATACACCATATTGACCTAAACACTATGTACTGTTCTGCTCACCAGACAAGATCTCCTTTGAACATAGTTTCTCATTATTGGTTCTGAGTCATTTATTTTATCATCTAGATTCCTCCAAGCTTAGCTTTACAACATTCTGGACGTGTCCCTGAGGTACCTGGTGACATCCCTGGAATCTTGTCTTTGGAATGTCAAATGATTATTTCTTGTATCTTTGGACCTTCTGTGTCTGTCTTTGAATCATTACTTTTTGAAATTTCCAATGCATTTTACATCTGATTTCCTTTGGGAAACTAGAGTCTAAACTGCATCCAGTATATATGTTATTATGCTACCTATGTGGAGAACTTACAGGGCTTCATAAATTCTTTGGCTGATAAATGTGACATAAATCCATATCTTATAAACTTGTCAGGAGATTTTTCTTAGCCCAAAGCTTTTACGTCCACATACCCTTCTAGCCAGCTGAACAATGTGTCCTTGTTTATTTATCTAAATGAAAACTACATGTTCCTTTCCAGTGCTGAGAAAATGAATCTGTAAAGCTATAACAAAGGTAGAGGTGAGAGGGTTGTAGGGAGCATTGAGTGCAAGTAAATAAAGGAGACATATTTTGCTTTTGAATGTCCTAATAAGCAAAGGCACATTGCCCAAGTTACTCTCAAGGACGTGAAGATGTAGAAGGGTATGAATGAAAATATTTGATCAACTCATATGGTTACAGAAATACAGACCATATTAGGGTATGTTACTTCAAGATCACTTGGTCTACCCCTATAATTATATGAATAGTAAAGCTGAAACCCAAAGAAAGCAAGTAATTTGAAAAAGCTAACGTAGATATATGGGCCTTAGAGTCTCCGTGGTATTTGCTGTCTTGTTATGTATGTATTAAACACTAAAACAACTAGATAAAATGTGAAATTTTTGTCAGCATGTTTCTTTCATGTGATTTGCCAAAAATGCTATTTTAACCAAATTAAATATTCTTTTCAGAAAATGAATAGGCTTAAATTCCACTAATCAGGTTTGCATGGGGGATATAATCTCAAAAATGAACTGAATCTGGTTAACCAATTAGTTATGAACTTCATTGTCATTTTTCCTGTCACCAAGATTTGGGACCATTTTACTGCCATATTTGCTTGCTTCTAGAAACCTAATCAAGCACTGTCTTCTCTAACTTGTTCATTTCTGTTGCATATTCAAACTATCTATTCCATACTTTACTGTGAGTAATTGAGATACTTTGGAGGAAGCCTGAAATCTGATGGATTTCAAATAAATGATTTATTCATGCTTATGTTATCTGGGTCCTAATGTCTCTTGGATTTCTCTTGGATTTGCATTTAGGTGTTCTTGTGCACGTCTTGCTGGCTGTTCAATCTTTTCGGTGGTATGCTACAGCAGTGTATTGTACAATATTTTCCTCTTGAACATCAGTAATGGGTTTGATTACCTAACTCTTCCTGATTGTGGTACATTTAAGATGCAAGCATATGCTTTCTTGACATCTAATGTAGCTTAACTGTGGTATGAGAACATCACCATTCTTCTATTTATTTTTTTTGTTATATTTTGACAATCTTTACATAGTTAATTAGGGTAAAAAGGTTCAAGGGCTATAGGAAAGTGGGTAAGACTATTATTTCCATATTGTTTCCTTCATGTTTAAAGGGGGCTATTAAGGGAGAAGGCCCACCCAATTTCCCACCCTTCCCAGGTTCCGGATGTAGGGTATGCTCCGAGGTTCTGGCTCAAGTGGTTTTGATAGTTCAACAGTTATGAATCGCTGCCAATCTTGCCACTCCAAGTACGATGAGGTCTTTGAAGAATCCACTGATTGACATAGTCCATCATAGAGTCTCTGTTTGCCCTGTATTTCACTGCCAACATATAGCTGAGATGGTTGATTGACCTGTTCTGTCCTCTTTTCTTGGTTAGGGTTCTGAGTCCAGCATTTTGGTTGGGGAGATCTCCAAAGAAACTTTGTCTGAGGTGTTCTCAGACCAGATACTTGAATGTACTAGCAGGTACAGGGCCCGGCTCAGTCCATTGCCCTGGTCAGCTGGTGGTTGCGATCACTGGGTTGGTTCTGTTTTCAGCCCCGACTTCCACTGGAACCAATGGGTGTTGCAGTCCAACCTGGTTCTGCCCAGCACATACTCAGCCCTCGCATAAACCAGTGGTAGCTGCAGCCTAGTTGGAGCGACCCACAATAACCCCCACCAGGCCCACCCCCGCCCTGGTTTGCCAATAAAACATCACCATTCTTTAAGAAAGCTATTTTATTGTGTACGATGAAGAAAGAGAAAAGCAGCCCAAGCCGATTCTGGTGCAAGAAGTTGGCTTGGGGTGACACAAGTATAGGTGATATTTGAGATAATTCAGTGCTTGCCTTCTGTAATTCTTCCATCTTTATAGTTAGGTTCTTGTATGAATATGTAAGTTTGATTCTGGAGCCACCATGCCTTTAAAAAGAATCACATTCTTAGTTAAAGCAACCAGTAAGACTACCATAAAGTGGCTGAAAGTAGTGGTGGTGGTAGGGCCAAACTTTTGTTGGTTTCCTGCAAAGTATGTATGCCTGTGTGTTCTTATTCATTGTTTTCTGTTCTTCTCTCCTAGGATTTTCTGATGTGCCCTGAGGTCCATGTAACTACAAGGGCTCCTCTTTATCACCTTAAGTGCCACTCTGACCCCAAACCACTCAGAACTTACAACTCAAGGCAAGATGGATGCTGCAGTGACAGATGATTTCCAACAAATTCTGCCTATTGAACAGCTGCGCTCTACTCATGCTAGCAATGATTATGTGGAACGGCCTCCAGCCCCCTGTAAACAGGCCCTCTCCAGCCCTTCCCTTGCTGTGCAAACCCACAAATCTGATTGGTCCCTGGCTACCATGCCTACTGCTCTCCCTCGCAGTCTTAGCCAGTGCCATCAGTTGCAGCCCTTGCCTCAGCATCTGAGCCAATCTAGCATTGCCAGTTCGATGTCCCATAGCACCACTGCCTCTGATCAAAGGCTTTTGGCTAGCATAACGCCCTCACCTTCAGGCCAGTCCATCATCCGAACCCAGCCTGGAGCAGGGACTCACCCAAAGGCTGATGGTGCTCTGAAGGGAGAAGCTGAGCAATCTGCAGGGCATCAAAGTGAGCACCTCTTCATCTGTGAGGAGTGTGGGCGCTGCAAGTGTGTCCCCTGCACAGCAGCTCGCCCCCTCCCCTCCTGCTGGCTGTGCAACCAGCGTTGCCTTTGCTCTGCTGAGAGCCTCCTCGATTATGGCACTTGTCTCTGCTGTGTCAAGGGCCTCTTCTATCACTGTTCCACTGATGATGAAGACAACTGCGCAGATGAGCCCTGCTCCTGTGGGCCTAGCTCCTGCTTCGTCCGCTGGGCAGCCATGAGTCTCATCTCCCTCTTCCTACCCTGCCTCTGCTGCTACCTGCCTACCCGTGGATGCCTCCATCTGTGCCAGCAGGGCTATGATAGCCTCCGGCGACCAGGCTGCCGCTGTAAGAGGCACACCAACACTGTGTGCAGAAAAATCTCTTCTAGTAGTGCACCCTTCCCCAAGGCCCAGGAAAAGTCTGTATGACTTTCCGACATGATGGATCCAGAGCTTTCTCCTTCTAGCCCCAATCACTAAAGGATAGGCCTCATCTTTGGAAAGGAGGAGTAACAAACTAGCCAAAGTTAGGCCTCACCTCTTTTATTCTTGCAGCGTCAGGGGAATGGCCAAGTTCATCCTGGTGCAGGATGCCTTGTTCTTTCTCACACTTTCAATCCCATTCCTCCTCAAACTTTACACACCCTGCCAGTTCAGCCCTTATGGCTGCCTTGGCAAATTCAGGTGATACATGGGCATGAGGTTTGAACACTGAGGACTGACAGAGCCAGCAACGTGGAGGTTTAGGGGCTCCCCAATGTAATGCCTCTCGATGCAGGCTCTGATCGTCACTCTGTGTTCTACAGTGCCTTTGGAAGCTTTCTTCTAAGATGGTTTTCCCAAGTACATGTAGAACAACGTTCAAACTTACAAGGACTATGACTCCATTTCCCTGTTTACTGCCCTTCTCATCTTTATATTTCTTTCTGCCTCTCGATCCTCTTCTTTCACTTTTTATCCTGGTCTGTATTCCTTCCACCTTCATTCTGTACCCTCTCTACTTTTATTTTTCCTGTCTTTTCTTCCTTCGTTTCTACTTCTCCCCTCCCCCCTTTTCTCAAACCCATTTTCTGCTTGCATTTTTATCTCATTTGATCTATGTTTGTCTTTCTCTACCTGTCCTTCTTTCTCCCTCTAACATATCCAAAAGTGCTGTTTTTCCATAGGTGTTTCCTTAGACGCCAAACTTTGCTATGCTATACTATTTACTAATTTTTATTAAGGAAAATGGAATACTGTAATGAATTGATCACTAGCAATAGTCTGTATCCCAATGTGTGTGTGCACTCACAACTGCACTCACCTGTTTGTGAGCATATGAGGTAAAGTTATCTTACATTTCCAGGTTTAATTAGTTGGAGTTTTCCTCCCTTACCCAATAATCAACTTATAGTAATGGCAGATTCCACTAGCATGCTGAGTAGGATAGTAAATCAGGATGCTCTTAACTTTGTATGTCTGACCCAAGTGCCAAAGGCAGACGTGCTTTATAGCTAAATGAACAAAGCAAAGGATATTACAGAGGTTTGTTCTCTCTTAGAAGCTAACTGCCCTGAGACTGCATGGCTCAGGCCTTAATAAAGGACATAAAAAGTCATAAAACTTAGAGCTGGAAGGAATCTTAACTGTGATGTCTTTCAATGCCCTTATTTTACAGATGGGAAAACTGAGACCTGGAGATAGGAAGGGACTTGCCAAGGTCACACACTGAGTAAATGGCAGAATTGGGACTGAAATGTAGGCCTTTTGATTCCTGGTTCAATATTTGTTCCCCTGTACCACTTTGAGTCATGGGACATTTTCCTAGGACTCTATTAATAATGACAGAAAACTGTTCCCTTCCAATTACTTTTCAGAGCCATGCCAAGTTAGTGTGGCAGTCTTTCTGCAGTACATGATGGGTGGCTAATTAACTATTAGATGTTGAGGCTGCCCCCAGTGGACATTACCTTTGGCTCTGTCATCTTGTAGAAGCGCAAGTGTGGAAAAGAAAAGCTTAAAGAAGCCCTAACCAAGCTGTATCTTCGCCATTGCATCTACTCTTTGCTGCACATACTGTGCTCACCCCTGGCTTTGTCTGCAATGGCAGCTACTTGAGAACCTAAATTTCAGCAACAGTGAAAAACTGAGATGAAGGATACATAAATGCTGAAAACTGACTTGTCTCTTTAAAAATACAGAGAGCCTGTGCTGTGAACCCCTTCCAGCGGGAAAAGGCTGCAGTGGTGATGTCACGCTCCTAAAGACTGCTGCTAAAAGACACAAGAATTATGTAGTTTCCCTCTGTAAGTAAATCCAAAACTCACCAAGGAATTCAGAGATTGAGGGCACTTCTTGAAATCAAGGTGCTCCAACTTAGTTTAAGATTTCCAGACTCTAACTTTATATATCATCACATTTAAAGTGTGCATGGAAGTGTATTGCAGGGTGGAGAGGTGAAAAGTGTATAGTTATACACAGGGGGAAGAAAGAGACATGTCCCTTTGATGGATACATACTACAGAAATACGTGCCACTCAGCCTTTGTTGGTTCTGAATCTTCCTGAAGTGTACTGACATTTGGGCTTTGTACAGCCTCATACCTTCACTTACACCTCCTCTTCTAGAATTGCTTTGCTCTATTTTTGTATATATAAATATGTTATGATGATTATTAATAATGTTAATGATATTGCTGCAAATGGTGCCATATATAATGTTACGCTTCTTGAAACATTTATATATCCAAACCAATACTTGTAACCTCTTATGTTGCTTTCAGATCCTTGAAATTTAAGTACTTTTTTTGTTTAAAAAAAAATCTTACAGGTCTGCCTGATTGTAGTTTAAACTTATCTACTCCTAAAATTTGTGCCCAGTCTACTGGGTCAAGCTGGATGGTGATGAGTAGCAACACACACTTTTTCTGCTTCTGCCTGAAATTTGCTTAGAGCTCAGATATCTAAGGATTCTCTGACACTAGCGCATTGTTCCTGGAGCTAAATTTATTCTATGGATGTTTGCTTATTAGTTTCAGGGCCCAAAATAAGGCAAACTCCTCTTCCTTGATAGCTCCTTGATATCCAAATCCTGCAGTCCTTACTCAGGCAAATTGTGCACTGCCAGAAGGGCCCTGGGTTCTGCCATATACCCAGAAGAGTTCTTCTCGGTGTGTTTCTAAATGGCCTTACACTTGGTAGAAGAAACTAAAGGGTTACTCAAATGCAGTTGTAATCAGCAATCTGCTGCTGAGTAAGGGCTTTCACTTATGTCCAAATTGGCCTGATATGGACTGCATCTGGTTTACGCATAGATGGGTCCTGTTGGGGTATGCGCATGAACATGTGAGTGAGTGTGCATATGTATTCCTTTTGTGATTATATATATATATATATTCACACATCTCTATATATTTTAATGTATTGCACATGTATATTTAAAATATATATAAGAAAGAACTCTAGATCCTGAAGAGTGGCTTTGTTTTTATTATTTTTCTACTTTGTGTCATATACTATGTAAATGGACTATTTAGAGGGTGTTTTCTCAATTTTTTTGGCAGTAAACTGATATGCTACCCATAACTCTACTGTTTTCCACATATGGTCCCTTGACACAGTTCATATGACAATATCTAAGAGTTTCCCTTTGGTTCTAGCCCATCTTCCCTCATCACAATGACTATAATAAATATAGTGAACATTTACCTAGTGCTTAATGTATGCTGAGCACTAGGTTTAGCATATTACCTGAATTTACTCATTCAACCTTCACAACAACTCCATGATGTAGATACTATTCCATTGAGAAAACTTAGGTACAGAGAGGTACCTCAAAGATACCTCTTTTTGAGGCTTGTCAAAAGTAGTCGCTAAGGCCCAGCATGGTAGCCTAGAAGCCAAAGTCCTTGCCTTGAACATGCCAGGATCCCATATGGGCACCGGTTCTAATCCCGGCAGCCCCGCTTCCCATCCAGCTCCCAGTGGCCCGGGAAAGCAGTCAAAGACAGCCCACAGTGTTAGGACCCTGCAGCCACGTGGGAGACCTGGAAGAAGCTCCTGGCTCCTGGCTCCAGATCAGCTAACCTCCAGCCACTGCGGTCATTTGGGGAATAAATCATCAGACAGAAGATCTTCCTCTGCCTCTCCTCCTCTCTGTATATCTGAATTTCCAATAAAAATAAATATTTTTAAAAAAGAAACAAAACAAGAGCAGTAGCTAGAAATGCTCAATCTAAGATTTGAACTCTAAGCTATTTGCCTCCCAAATCCATGTTCCAGAACCAGGTATAGCAGTTTGCAGTACAATGTAAATCATCCTAGTATAACAAGCCCAAAATGCTAAATATTCCTCTCCCTAATTCTGGCCTACTTGAAACTTGGAACTTGCAAAAGATGTTATATGTGAGGAGTGAAACAGTTGTTACAAATATCATATAATTATCTGCCTTGGTTCTCAAGATGGTGGCATTGCAAACTTCGCTACTTTCTCATGATATAGAGACACTAGAATATTTTCACTTGATCTTATCTCTGTAGGCTAAGGAAAAACTAATTCAGTTTTTTTTTCTGCACAGAGTACAACTGAAGCTATTTAATAAACTTGAGATCTGTTGAGTTTGCTAGCATTCAGACTCTTTGATTATATTAATTACGTTCTTCTGATTCAAATGTAAACTATCCACTGATGACTGCTGGCCCAAAATACCTTTCCTTGTAAAGTCAGCTTCCTAGTACTGACATTACTTTACCCAGGTATAATTGCAGAGCCAAACGTACCTTTAAAGAGTGTCTAGTCCAACACCAATATTTTTAAAATTTGTTTGTTTTATAATATAGATCTACAGGCTTAGGGATTTCCCCTCCTCTCTCCCAATTCCCGTATATTATAATAACAGAATAGTCCTTCAAAAGGATCCTATCATTCTGATATTTAAGTGTAGTCTGACATTCTAGGCATGGACAATGGCAGAGTCCAGCTTCCTATTGTCAAGATATATTTAATAGTTTCATTAGGAGTCCATCTTTTATTCAAGAGTAGAGGTGCACATAACCGTCATGCAAAATACAAGGTCAATCGATATACAAGTAAACATACATGTATGTATAGTCATCTAGAGGAACTGCATAATAGAGACTACCAAAGGCAGTATTTTTCAGTTGTAGAAAAAGATGCACATAAAGGGAAAATATCCTTTCCAAAGCCACACAGTTCTCAGTTCGAGTGGAATTCTCTTATTCCAGAGTTCATAATATTCAGATGTCTTAATCTGTTAGACGACAGAGATTGATGCAAAAGCATATGTGCAATCCAGGGAAGCCAGAGCAAGAAAAAGTGTAATGAGGTAGAGAGGGAAGAAAAGCAAACATGAAGAAGTATATCGCAGAGTTAACCACAATCAGTTTAACGGTAAAATGGTTTCTCAATCTCTTATGAGAGATTATATGAAACTACTGTATCTCCAGATTGCTCATCTAGAAAAATAAAGGAAAATTCATTTGCGAATTCCCATCTGATTAGTCAAATGCCTTCCCCATGTAATATTAGCTCCTCTGCACTTAAATGTAGTACAAATGTAGGTACCCAAGCATTTACATCACACACCTTTATAGAAGTAGGGAGGTGTTGTGTCTCCGCTATGGAGAGCAAGACAATGCACTACAGATGGGAAGAACTGTACATATACACACTTAAAATACTCCACAGCTGTGTGGCTTTCCTTAAAATTGTAATCACATTCATTCAAAATGTGTTAGGGCTAGAATAACCTACCAATTTTTAAGTATATAAGGTTTTTGGGTGCTCAGAAATATGCTAAATTTGGCTTTTTAAAGCCTATACATCCTCTCATTTATTTTTAAGGGCTTGGGCATGGAGGTGAAGTCCCTAGTTCAATTAAAGGAAATAGATCCTCAAAATATTCTTCCTTCCATGTGTAAGAATGAACTTTCTCTTACTGAACTTTTCTATATCAATGTAAGTATGTATACATATATATTCACTTAGACTCCTTCAGCAGAAAAGTAGTCAAGTTAGTAAACTCAAGAAAAATTGGCTAGGGGTAAGTGTTATGGCACAGTGCGTTAAGCCTCTACCTGTGATGCTGGCATCCCATGTGGGAGCTGGTTTAAGTACTGGCTGCTCCGTTTCCAATGCAACTATCTGCCGGTACACCTGGCGGGGGGGGAGCGGCACCGGAAGATGGCCCAAGTACTAGTGCCCCTGCACCCATGGAGAGACCAGGAAGAAGCTCTGGGATCCTGGCTTCACACTGGTCCAACTCCAACCAGTGGAGCCATTTGAGAAATAATCAGAAGATGGAAGTTCTAGCTGTTTTTCTGTTTCTCCTCTCTCTGTAACTCCATCTATGAAATAAATACATTTTTTATTTTATTTTTAAAAGATTTATTTATGTATTTATTGGAAAGTCAGATATACAGAGAGGAGGAAGCACAGAGAGGAAGATCTTCCGCCCGATGATTCACTCCCCAAGTGAGTGCAACGGCCGATGCTATGACAATCCAAAGCCAGGATCCAGGAACTTCTTCCAGGTTTCCCACACAGGTGCAGGGGCACAAGGCTTTTGGCCATCCTCAACTGCTTTCCCAGGCCACAGCAGGGAGCTGGATGGGAAGTGGAGCTGCCAGGATTAGAACTGACATCCATATGGGATCCCAGTGTGTTCAAGGCAAGGACTTTAGCCGCTAGGCCACGCCACCGGGCCCAATAAATACATTTTTTAAAGTTTTTTAAAAACTTGACTAAACAATACATCTTGCACCATTATAATACAACAATCTATTAGTTGGATTTAAAAAAAAATATTTCAGAGATATTATTGTAATGTTGCTGGTAGAACTGCTGCCTGCAATGCCAATATCACATATGGGACTTTTTCATGTCCCAGCTACTCCATTGCTGATCTACTTCCCTGCTAATGTGCCTGGGAGAGCAACAGAGGATGGTTTAAGTGCCTGGGACCCTGCATCCATGTGGGAGACCCTGATAAAGCTCCTGATTCTGGGCTTCAGCCTGTGTCAGCCTCTGTTGTCACAGCCATCTGGGGAGTGAACCATAAGATGGAAGATCTCTCTGTGTCTCTACCTGCTTCTCTCTCTCTCGCTCTCTCTGACTGTATCTTTCAGACTTATAAATATTTAAGAAACAAATTTCAGAGTGCTGACATAGTGACATAAGCAGGTTAATCCTCCATATGTGACACTGGCATACCATATCATTGTTGATTTGTGTACTGGCTGCTCTACCTTCGACCCAATTCCCTGTTGATGAACTGGAAAAGCGGTGGAGGATGACCCAAGGCCTTGGGCTGTGCACCCATGTGGGAGACCTACAGGAAGTTCCTACCTCCCAGTTTCAGACCAGCCCAATTCTGACTATCTCAGTCATTTAGGGAATGAGCCAACAAATGGAAGATCTCTCTCTGTCTCTGTCTTTCCTGCTTTTTCTCTGTAACTCTGACTTTCAAGTAAAATTAGTTTGTATATGTGTGTGTTAGGGTCAGGGTTAGGTACACACACATAAATATATATATACATTTATTTTTGCTTTCAAGCAAATATATAAATAGATTTTGTTTTCAATCAAAATACATATATATGTATATACCTATACATATATATATATACAATACATATTTCAGCCACTAGTTTTGTCATCACTAATATACTCATTGCGTTATACTTTTAATCCCACACGTAATAGTTCCTTGTATCCTATATACCATTCTCACACGAAATGATTTTAAAAATTCGATTGACAATGTGTTCTGCTGTTTGGGTGCAATTTAAGTGATAACAACTCATTAGATTATTTCTCCAGAATACCCTGTTTCCTTGAATTCCCCACTCATATATCTGTTTAAGCTCTGTACTCAAATATATAGTACAAATTTCAACCATAACATAGACTAAGCTCCTAATCCTCCCCACTTCAAATCTGAAATGTATAGCCTTTGTCTACTTCTTTTTTAAAAAAAGATTTATTTATTTTTATTGGAAAGTCAGATATACAGAGAGGAGGAAACGAGGAGGAAACACAGAGAGGAAGATCTTATGTCCAATGATTCACTGTCAAGTGAGTGCAACGGCCAATGCTGCACCGATCCAAAGCCAGGAGCCAGGAATTTTTTCCACGTCTGCTATGTGAGTGCAGGATCCCAAGGCTTTTGGCCATCCTCCACTGCTTTCCCAGGCCACAGGCAGGGAGCTGGATGGGAAGTGGAGCTGCCAGGATTAGAACTGGCAACCATATGGGATCCCAGTGCTTTCAAGGCAAGGATTTTAGCCTCTCGGCCACCACGTTCGGCCCTGTGTCTGCTTCTCTTGAAATTTTAATTAACCCTAATTTCCAGTTACTGAGATAAAAAAAATTGTAATGATCCATTGGACTTTTCATTAGTTGTTTAGTCAAAATTCTCAAACTCCACATTGTCAAATAGCCTATTACTTTGGTGATTTAGATTCTGTTACATATGGTCATTTGTACCTCTTGATTACTTTAATATAGGCCCACATCTTTATCTTGACCCTCAAAGTGATCACCACAACATGATCATTTGCTTCCAAAAGGCATCTTAAGACTAGAACTTCTTACATCTGGGATCCCGTGGTCATTATATGATTTATCTCATATGTATAAGGCTTGTCTCCTGGAGAAGAGAAAATTGTGACATACAAGTTGTCATTCATTATCTCCATCAGCCACTCTTTTTGTTGTGCTGGATGATAGTCATGTCTCTGATGGTAGGACACAGGTGACAAGTCCCAAATTCCTTTAAGAATTGACTCATCCTGCTGTTGTGGGTTATTAAAGAAATAAAATAAAAATGATTAAACAAAAAATACTCTAGCTTTATTAATATAAAGCTTTAACATCAAGCCACCTGCATATTCTCCTACTGTGATAAGCTGGAGTATACCTAGACCAACATCATGGTATAGTGGTTAAGGTGCCACCTGTGTCACCAGCACCTCATATGAGTACCACTTTGTGTCCTGGCTGCTCCACATCAGATCCAGCTAATCCTCCTGGGTGAGCAGCGGAAGACAGCCCAAATTCTTGGGGTCCTGTCACTCACTTGAAAAACTAGGATGAAATTTCTGGATCCTGGTTTCAACCTGGCCCATCCCCAATCATTGCAGCCATTTTGTAAGTGAACCAGCAGTTGGAAGATTGATGTGTGTGTGTGTGTGTGTGTGTGTGTGTTTGTACATCTACCTCTCTCTAACTCTGCCTTTGAAATAAATAAAATTAATCTTTAAAAAATGATGGAATATAGCATTCATGTCCCCTAAAGAGTCATTTTGAACCTATATTCTAATCCTAAAATTATAGAAATTGAATAACTTCCATTGCCTTTTTCTCCTAGGTCTGTCTTTCAATTCTCACTTCCAAAGGCTTATCCCTCTGATAATAGCAACAACAAAACACTAAAATGGGAATATAATGGGGGGAAAAAAACACCAATTTTTACAATATCAGGCAACTGGTCCCCTTTCAATGAGGGTGAAAAAGCTCTCCCAAGTAGGACAAGGTCCCAGCCCCATTTTAATATTTGAATGGTATTGAAAGAGAAAAAAAAGTATTTGGAAGCAATATTAAATGTGTCCACAAAGAAAAGCAAAGATTACAAAAATGAGACATATGGGCCCAACGGCATGGCCTAGCGGCTAAAGTCCTCGCCTTGAACGCACTGGGATCCCATATGGTTGCCAGTTCTAATCCTGACAGCTCCACTTCCCATCCAGCTCCCTGCTTGTGGCCTGGGAAAGCAGTTGAGGATGGCCCAATGCTTTGGGATCCTGAACCCGTGTGGGAGACCCGGGAGGAAACTCCTGGCTCCTGGCTTTGGATCGGCATAGCATCGGTATTGCTCTCACTTGGGGAGTGAATCATTGGGCGGAAGATCTTCCTCTCTGTCTCGCCTCCTCTCTGTATATCTGACTTTGTAATAAAAATAAATAAATCTTAAAAACAAAAGCAAAAATGAGACATATGAATCAGTTTGTTTCTCTCACCTAAAACATTATTTTACAATTTTTTGGCTCACTTGTACTCTTGAACTCTTGGACTCAGTTGTCCTTGAATTATATCAACACTCTTCTTTATCAAACTCCTACAAGCTCTTGAATAGAGTGATTGTGCATGTGTGTGTGTGAGATGGGGGGGTGTTTTGAGCTCTCTTCAAGTTCAAAGTTGGACTATATCACTGCTATTAGCTGCCTTTTACTCCTTTCTAGGACATGCACTACATCACTTGCATATTATACTAAATGACAAAGTTTTTCTCCAGAGAGAATTGTCAGACTTGATCTATGATTTTTCCCTGGATTGATTTTTTTAAAAACCACTGTGGTGTTGTGGAAATTATAGTATTATAAGAAAAAAATCAAATCAAAGCATTTTTAAAAATTATTTATTAATAAAAACTGAACAATTAATTTATTTCATATATACAATCCCAAGAACATAACCATACTTTTCTCCTTCAATTTCCCTTTCATTTTTCCCATTATAAATCAGAATCTTTGGTGATGGGGTTGAGGAATGGATTGTTTTATAGCTCTTAGGTGATTATAATATGAGAATAGATTTTTATAATATTCAATTGTCTTATTCTATAATACCAATAGTAAATGCCAGAGGGGGAAAGTACCTTACTCATAATCACAGTGAACAGATGACCAAAAAGTATAAAAATCCGGGTTGCAGATTCCTAGGCCAGACAACTCTAACTTTTCTCTCTACCAAATGCCTTCTTTGGGCTTTTACTTTCCTTAAATAAAGATAATAAAGTCCAAATATGTTGTAAGAATCATTAAAGCACAAACATTTCTAATGTACAAGATTGCACATAATCTTATACTTGAGTGAATTCATGCCTAACACATGTGATGTTGGCTCTCCCATGTAAGTGGGACTGACTCTTCTAAATAACATAATAAACGTTTTAAAAATTCTGTATCAAGGTGTTATAGCTATACATATTTATAGACTAATGATTTTTTAATTTTTATTAGAGAGAGAGGAGGAGATGGAGTGGGAAGAGAGAGGAAGTCAGCTAAGCAGGGAATCCTAATCTGTTGGTTTACTCCCTACATGATCGAGCTCAGCCACACTTAAGTTGGAACTGGGAAATTTCCTACATGATTAGTAGAAACCCAAATAGCTGAACCATCATTGCTGCTTTCCAGGGTCTGCATTAACAGCAAGATAGAATTTGATATGGAATACAGGCATCCTAAATAACAACCGTCTTAATTGCTAGACCAAATTCAAGCCCAGAGTTAACAATTCTTGAATTTTTGAAATAATTAAATCAACTCTTATTCAACCCATTGCTTCAAACATTTAAAATGTCAAACATTTTATATAATCTTGCTTAAAACACCTTAGAATCACCCTCTCAGACACTGAAATGACAGTACTTAACTATTAGTTATATTCCTTATGCTGTCTGATGACAGGTATCAATATTCATCATGTGTATAGGTTGCATATGCCTTGAAACTTAATTTGGCCTTAGTGAAAATCAAAAAGTAGAGTACAGGGGTCATAGCTTTCTTTCTTTTTTCCTTGCTGGGATAGAGATCACAGGAAATGTAAAGTCGATGGGATAACTAGACTACGTATAATGTCAACCCACATTAGCCGTAGTACCTAAATAGCCTATGGTTTCTATGGAACCTAAATATCTCATTCCCAAGGTCAATCCAGTTTGGAAAAAGGAATTTTATTTTTCATGATACAGTTCCATAGGTTCAGGGATTTCCTCTTTCACTCTCCCTCTTCCCCCTAACCCCCTCCCCCCAAGTTTTCCCTGTATTATTACAATAGTATTGTCCTTCAAAACCAGTTACAAGTCCATCATCCTGCTATTTAAATGTAGCATAACATTGTAGGTACAGATAATGATAGAAAGCCCAGCATCTTATTGTCAAGATATATATATATTTTAAAATAATAAAAAATGGCTGTTCAGAAAGGTAATGTCCAAGGAAAGTCAAAGGGTAGGATTGCCCACTAAGAGGGGCTTCTAAAGGAGGAAAGGATCTTTAAACTTGGCTGATTTGAGGAAATAGATTATGTGATGATATTCTACCTATAGACTAATCTGTAACACATTTCCTGAACTCCATGGCCCCAGAACAGCGTATTGATATTTGTTCCTCCCTTAACCATCCTAGGGTTAGAAATTTTCAGAGTGGGTCACTTCTGTTACCCTAGGAGTAAATATATCTATCTACTTGTTTATTTCTTTTAAAACAATGGGATTTTGCTTCATTTATAAAAATGAACTTTCTCTTGCCAGCACATACAGAAAGCAGGGCTGAGGGGTGGGCCTTATGGGGATTATTTGGGATCAACCCAAATTGGCTGTAGTACCTGCCAATGTGTGTGACAGCTGAGCCTAGGGGCAAGCTGGGCTGGGCTAGGTCACAGCACCTGCACAGCACCAGGTAGCTGCATCTACTAGTACATGCATTAGCTGATGCAAAATCAAACCTGACTGTGCACTAGCTGGTGCACACAAAAGTCTAAGGGACTTCCCAGGTGAAGTTTCTTGGGAAACCCCAAATAGACCACTGGGCTCAAACCACAGCCTCAGGGAAAATCACAAAAATATGTGTTCTGACCTTGGAGTACATATGTTAGGGCTAGGCCTCCTCAGTTGCTGGTGCCTGTTCAATAGAGAACACACTTCAGATGCACACACAAGACAAGGCAACCAGCTCATGTAAGCCAACAGAGGAAATTAACTGCCTCATCAGAGGATGGAAAGTAGAACAGGTTGGATAATCTCCAGGTCAAGATTTGCAACATTTTTCTTTACCATTAGCCTGGAATTCCAATCCTTTCACTTTCAGTTTCCACGTTTCTTTGTTGGTGAGATGTGTCTCCTGTAAGCAACAGACAGATGGGTTTTGTTTTTTGATACAGTCTGCTAACCTATTTTCCAGAACTGAGACCTCTTTGCTTCACCCTGGCTAATGATTCTCCATCTGTTTAAATACGTCCTCACCCTATTCCACCATCTTATTTTTCAGTTATTCTACATTTTCATCTAAACAGATAATTGTGGTTGGAAGGAAACCAAAAAACCACAAATGTTAAGTGGTTCTTCAATACAAACAAGCTTTTGTACTTTATTTCTCTCTTCAACTTATTTTAAAATAAACTCTTCAAAGGGAGTATATTTCTCTTTCTTCACTCCTCCAACACCACTACCTCCTGCATACCTCTACTCCCAGCTTATGACCCTACCACATACTACCAACAAAACCATAGCATTTTTTGTGTGGAACTCATTTGAGCCAGGAATTTTAACCAATCCTGCATTGAAATAGCTTTATTCAATATCACCAATGATTTTATCTTCCTAAATCCAATGGTCAATTTTCATTCTTCATCTTATTCAATTTACCAGCAGCATTTGTCTTAAGCAATCTTGCCCTTGATTTTAGTGTTATTTTCCTCTCCGGAAAGCCTAGGAAAACCTGAGGCAAGGATTTGCACAGAGTTATTTCAGGAAAGTGATTCAGGAAGTAGAAGAAAGGGACTGAGAAACGTGAACCAAGAAAGGAAGGGACATCAATTAAAAAGTATGTTATTGATCTGTTTACCATTATAGTCAACTGTGGATTATTCCCAATGAAGACTCTTTAAGGAGCCACATAGAATATGCCCTAGAATTTTCTACCAGACATAAAAGAGAGCATCTATCAGATAACATCTCTCATTGATCAAGTGTAATCTTAGAACATGCTAACTCATTGGAAATTGCAAGTTAGTACATGATCTACAATCGTTGAGCAGGCTCCTACAGGTGACTTACATGGTGGTAGCAGAATTAGGGTTAGGATTAGATAGTAGGGAGAAATAATATTAGATGGAGTCAAATGAAGTATCAAGCTATACTTGCATACAGCTGTTGCAGCAATGACCTAAACAATAGGGTAGTTTAAAATCACTTTAAATAGGGATTAAAATGTATTTCACACACCCTCCTTATTGAAATAACTCTTTTGCTTCTAACACACTAGACTCCTAATTTTCTTCTTACCATATTAGTGACTTTTTCTGTAAGTCCTTTGATTATTCTTCCTCATTTTCCTGAATTTAAAATATTAGCATGCCTCAGGTTTTATTTCATATTTTTCTCCTCTACCCATACTCAGTGATCTCCTCTAATCTCATCAACTAAAATACCACTTATATTTTCATAATTCCCAAATTTATATTTTTACCTCAAATTTCTCCCCTGGTTTTGGTACTGCTTACTTAAACTCCCAACTCAAAAGTTTAACACTTAATAAATTATATTTTAAGGAGAAGTTTTGATTTCTATACATTTCTGTTATCCTGAACCTCAATAAATAACAATTCCATTCTTGTAATCACATAAGACAACTATGGAGATATCCTTGATTTCTATCTTTTTCACATAGCAACTGGTTAACAAATCCTTTTGCCTCTACTCTCAAACTATGTCCAGACTTAAACTACTTCTCACTGTCATCACTGCTCTACCTACTGTACACTATTTATCTCATCCCTGGATATTTGCTGCAGCTTCCTACTCTAATTTTTGATTCCTTGTTGTAATACTGAAGGCCAGATTTGGTCGTTCTTCTGTGTGACATCTGCTACTGACCTTCCAACTGACTCAGAAGCCATTTTTTTTTTAGCTGTAGTTAAATGATCCTATGTATTCTTCCCCTGATATCTATGTTAAAAACTCTAATATGGAAGTTTGCTCAAGTGTCACTTCCTCAAAGAGGCTTCTCTGATCACCCTAAACCACCATTGCTCATCCTTCTATCCTCATGTTTCTTTTCTTTTTTTTTTTCCTTTTAAGATTTACTTTTATTGGAAAGTCAGATACACAAAGAGGAGGAAAGACAGAGAGGAAACCTTCTGTCCATTGATTCACTTCCCCAGTGGTCGCAATGCCGGAGCTGGGTCAATCCAAAACCAGGAGCTTCTTCCAAGTCTCCCACACAGGTGCAGAGTCCCAAGGCTTTGGGCTGTTGTTGACTGCTTTTCTAGGCCACAGCAGAGAGCTGGATGGGAAGTGGGGCCACCAGGATTAGAACTGGTGCCCTTATGGGATCCTAGCATGTTCTAGGTGAGAACTTTAGACACTAGGCCACCACACCGGACCCTTTGTCCTCATGTTTCAATTCACTTTTTTCTCCATAGAATTTCTTACTACTTGACTATGTTGTATATTGCCATTTAATGAATAAATGAATATTAGTAATATTTAAATTGGATAAATCTCTCTTGAAGTTACCAAACTTCAAGGGTATAGTGCCAAGCACTACTGTATATAATGCTGCACTCTGTTCTGTTCCAAAACTCTTAACTTGTTCCAGAACCTATTTCATTTCTCCACTTGCTCAGTGAAATAAAACTCTGAGGTTATACCACTTTCCCTTCAGTATTCTCTATTTTAGACTGTCCATTCTCCCATATATGGCTTCACTTCATTTCCAATGCAGCACAGATTTCAGGAAAGTAAGATTTGAGTATCTTCTACATGGAAAGTGTGCGTTGAAACTGAAAATGTATAATCAGTCTCTGGCAGAAAGTATAAACTGAAGAAAAGCAGACCAGCAAAATCTTTCCTTTGTAGTTATAGCTGCCATGATTAGCGAAAGGATAGAGTTTTTTTGGCAATAATTTCAATCACATAATGAAAGCAAATTCACTGGCTGTCTTTACTGTGAAAGTATTCATGTGTACTTCTAGAAGAATATGTTTGGAAACAGCTATTATTACAACAGCTAAAAATTATGTTAATTATTGAGTTCATACTATGTTCCAGGCATAAAATTAGCATTTACTCTTTTGACAACTTTGTGTTGGCATTATTATCACGTTTGGTACCTCCTTTCCTCCCTTAGAGGAAACTCCTTTCCTCAGTTAAGCTACACTATTCTGATTTCCCTTGCTATTTACTTGGCCAATTCAGTCTTTTTATCCGGTCTTTTCCTTTATCTCCCCCTATGTACTGCAAAGCTCAAGATTCTTTCTGCTTCCTTTGTTGTTCAGTTCTATACACTTTTCCCAATAAACTCTATCCAATCTTATTTCAACTGTACTAATGACTCCTACATTTTTATCTCTAGCACACACTGTTTTTCCAAAATAAAAATTCAACTGCATACTCTCCAAATGCCTATATCAGAGATACGCCTAATTCAACATGTTCAAAATTCAACTAATTAACTTTTTCCCCCTCAAACATGCTCATCTTCCAGGTTCTCAGACTGAATAAATGCTAACTCAATTGCTCAAGTCATAAACTGAGAATCATTCATATCTTATCATTCTCTGTCATCTAACATATTCATTGACAAAACGTTAATTCTACTTCCTAAAATCCGAATTAACTTTTCTACATTTCTCCAATCTTGATTTACTAACAAAAAACTATTAAACAATGTCAGATTGTACAGCTTCAGTTGACTTTTTACGAGTTCCACCATAAAATGCTTTGCCCTGACTGCAGAATTTTTTCCACAGACTTTAAATTCTAAAATTTGTGTCATATACCATTTGAAATGCTTGAATTATTCAGTCAATGGCAAAATGTTCAGAAATACCTTTTCTTGGTTTTTTCCTACTGTGATTTTTCAAATGCTGTGGGATCAAACAGGGTTGACTTATCTTGAAAAATATACTCATTTGAACTTCACTTATTTTGACTTTCAAATAGTAGTTCCTTCTCACTCTCCCTCACACACACACACACACACACACACACACATACACCTTTTCTCTCGGATACAAATCAAGTCCCACGCAATTATATGCGTTCTGTGAGAAACTTCCTTTATTATAAATACACAAATAGATTAAAAGAAAATATGTGCAAAATGATATATAATACAAGAAATTTAAAAAAAACTGTGGTGGCTTTGTTAATATCACGTAAGGAAGATTCATGAACAAGAAATTTTTTTAGAATTAAAGAATAAAATGCCATAAGTATAAACAGATCAACTTAAATTGTTATATTTGTATATTTCAGCAAGTTTCCCAGTGGTTGATATAACAAGTACACAGAACATCAGCAAGGCTATAAATGTTTTTGAAAAACTTGCTTAACCAACAAGGACTCATCAGTACCTAAAGAAAACTCTAACAATAACAAAATAGATGCTCTTTTCCAGTGTATTTGGAATCTTCATTAAAAATAGACCATACAAAAGAAATCTCAACAAATTTTAAAAAGCAATGGCATACAAGACATATTCTCTGATCACAATGGAATTAAATTAGGAACTTATAACTAGAAGGTTTTTAAAATTACCAAATATTTTAAGCTTAATAGCACATTTATACATAACACATGAGTCTAAGAAGAAATCACAAGTTAAACCAGAAAATATTTTGAACTGAAAAAAACTAAAACAGGGAATATAAAAATTTGGATATAGAGCTAAAACAGTGCTTAAAGAAAATTTTGTGATATTAATTTTTTGTATTATAAAAAGAAAAAATGATTCAAATCAACAACGTAAGTTTTTGCTTTAATATTTGGAAACAGAAGAACAAATTCAACTGAAAAGAATGAAGTAAATACTAGAGAAAGAAAATTAATGAAATTAAAAACAGAAAACACATAGAGAAAAATCAGTGAAACCAAGTGCTCTTTGGAAAGATGCATGAACCTTTTTTTTTTTTCAAAGATTTGTTTATTTATTTTTATTACAAAGTCAGATATACAGAGAGGAGGAGAGACAGAGAGGAACATCTTCTGTCCGATGATTCACTCCCCA